TCCTATCCTCAAATAGAATGATTAAAGAAGCAAACATATGCAAACAATGCAAACATAACAGCAATCTGCCTAAACAGGATAGTCTGTAAAGAATGCTGCAACATCCATACTTCCCTAGCTCCAAAAATTATGAAAGAAAATTCCCACTGTATTAAATTTATCAGATCTTAATATGCAAAAGGTTTCAACATTTTATCACATTCTGACTTTTCTAGGGAATTATTTCAACAGCGGTAAACTTTCTGTTTTCAAACAGCAACATGTATACTTATAACATAGGCATAGTAAAGGATAGCAATGCCACTTTTATTGAAATAAAAGGTGCAAATCATTATTATAAATAACAGCAAGAAAATACTAACAAAATAAATGGACTCTCCAAGCAAAACACATATCATGTGGCGAATAGAAATATAGCTCCAAGTAAAGTTACCGATGAACGAAGACGAAAGAGGGGGTGCCTTCCGGGGCATCCCCAAGCTTAGGCTTTTTGGTGTCCTTGGATATTACCTTGGGGTGCCTTGGGCATCCCCAAACTTAGGCTCTTGCCACTCCTTATTCCATAGTCCATCGAATCCTTACCCAAAACTTGAAAACTTCACAACACAAAACTTAAAGTAGAAAACTCGTAAGCTCCGTTAGTATAAGAAAGTAAATCACCACTTCAAGGTACTGTAATGAACTCATTATTTATTTATATTGGTGTTGAAAATACTGTATTCCAACTTCTCTATGGTTTATAAACTATTTTACTAGCCATAGATTCATCAAAATAAATAAACAACACATGAAAAACAGAATCTGTCAAAAACAGAACAGTCTGTAGTAATCTGGATCAAACGTATACTTATGGAACTCATAAAATTCTCAAATAAATTTATGGACCTGAGGAATCTACCTATTAATCATCTGCAAAAATAATTAACTAAATATCACTCTCCAAATAAAAATGGCATCAATTCTCGTGAGAGCTAAAGTTTCTGTTTTTTACAGCATGATCAACAAGACTTTCCCCAAGTCTTCCCAAAGGTTCTACTTGGCACAAACACTAATTAAAAGCATAAAACCACATCTAAACAGAGGCTAGATGAATTATTTATTACTAAACAGGAACAAAAGGCGAGGAAGTAAAATAAAATTGGGTTGCCTCCCAACAAGTGCTATTGTTTAACGCCCCTAGCTAGGCACGATGATTTCAATGATGCTCACATAAAGGGTAAGAATTGAAACATAAAGAGAGCATCATGAAGAATATGACTAGAACATTTAAGTCTAACCCACTTCCTATGCATAGGGATTTTGTGAGCAAACAACTTGTGGGAACAAGGATCAACTTGCGTAGGATGGTAAAACAAGCATAACTTCAAAATTTTAAGCACATAGAGAGGAAACTTGATATTATTGCAATTCCTACAAGCATATGTTCCTCCCTCATAATAGTTTTCAGTAGCATCATGAATTAATTCAAAAATATAACCAGCACCTAAAGCATTCTTTTCATGATCTACAAGCATAGAAAATTTACTACTCTCCACATAAGCAAAATTCTTCTCTTTCCGGACAGTGGGAGTAAACTCAACAAAATAACTATCATGTGATTGAAAATTAAGATCAAGATGACAAGTTTCATGGATATCATTATTCTTTATAGCATACAATTCATCACCACAATCATCATAGATAGGAGGCATGCTTTCATCATAGTAAATTTGCTCATCAAAGCTTGGGGGACAAAAAATATCATCTTCTCAAACATAGCTTCCCCAAGCTTGTGGCTTTGCATATCATTAGCATCATGGATATTCAAGGAATTCATACTAATAACATTGCAATCATGCTCATCATTCAAATATTTAGTGCCAAACATTTTATAGATTTCTTCTTCTAGCACTTGAGCACAATTATCCTTTCCATCATACTCACGAAAGATATTAAAAAGGTGAAGCGTATGAGACAAACTTAATTCCAATTTTTTTTGTAGTTTTCTTTTATAGACTAAACTAGTGATAAAACAAGAAACTAAAAGACTCGATTTCAAGATCTAAAGATATACCTTCAAGCGCTAACCTCCCCGGCAACGACGCCAGAAAAGAGCTTGATGTCTACTACACAACCTTCTTGTAGACGTTGTTGGGCCTCCAAGTGCAGAGGTTTGTAGGGCAGTAGCAAATTTCCCTCAAGTGGATGACCTAAGGTTTATCAATCCGTGGGAGGCGTAGGATGAAGATGGTCTCTCTCAAGCAACCCTGCAACCAAATAACAAAGAGTCTCCTGTGTCCCCAACACACCCAATACAATGGTAAATTGTATAGGTGCACTAGTTCGGCGAAGAGATGGTGATACAAGTGGTATATGGATAGTAGATAACGGTATTTGTAATCTGAAATTATAAAAACAGCAAGGTAACTAATGATAAAAGTGACCATAAACGGTACTGCAATGATAAGAAACAAGGCCTAGGGTTCATACTTTCACTAGTGTAAGTCCTCTCAACAATAATATCATAATTGGATCACATAACTATCCCTCAACATGCAACAAAGAGTCACTACAAAGTCACTAATAGCGGGGAACGAACGAAGAGATTATGGTAGGGTACGAAATCACCTCAAAGTTATTCTTTCCAATCAATCCATTGGGCTATTCCTATAAGTGTCACAAACAGCCCTAGAGTTCGTACTAGAATAACACCTTAAGACACAAATCAACCAAAACCCTAATGTGACCTAGATACTCCAATGTCACCTCAAGTATCCATGGGTATGATTATATGATATGCATCACACAATCTCAGATTCATCTATTCAACCAACACAAAGGACCTCAAAGAATGCCCCAAAGTTCTACCGGAGAATCACGACGAAAATGTGTGCCAACCCCTATGCATAGGTTCCCAATGTCACGAAACCCACAAGTTGATCACCAAGACATACATCAAGTGGCACGTGGTATCCCATTGTCACCAAAGATATCCACGGCAAGATATACATCAAGTGTTCTCATATCTTTAAAGACTCAATCCGATAAGATTACTTCAAAGGGGAGACTCAGGGCCAGTTCTTTTGGGAATTTCTCCGAGAATTGACCCCCTCCCCAGCTTCTCCTAGAATTGCCACTTCATCTTTTTTTACAATTCCTAGCTAGTTAAGATCTAGTTAGCTAGGAATTGTAAGAAAATATAGAGTGGCAATTCTGGGAGAAGCTGGGGAGGGGGTCAATTCTCGGAGAATTGCCCAAAAGAACTGGCCCTCAATTCATTACAAGAGAGAAGAGGGGGAGGAGAAACATAAGATCCAACTATAATAGCAAAGCTCGCGATACATCAAGATCGTATCACCTCAAGAACACGAGCGAGAGAGATCAAACACATAGCTACTGGTACATACCCTCAGCCCCGAGGGAGAACTACTCCCTGCTCGTCATGGAGAGCACCGGGATGATGAAGATGGCCACCGAAGAGGGATTGCCCCTTCCGGCAGGGTGCCGGAATGGGTCTAGATTGGTTTTTGGTGGCTACGGAGGCTTCTGGCGGCGGAACTCCCGATCTATTGTGCATTCTCGAAGTTTTAGGGTATATGGAGTTATATAGGCAAAAGAAGCACGTCAGGGGAGCCACGGGGGCCCCGCGAGGCAGGGGGCGCGCCCCCACCCTCGTGGCCAGCTCCTGTATCTTCTGACATGGGGTCCAAGTCCATCATGTGTGTTTCCTTCCAAAAATAACTTCTCTAGTTGATTTCGTTCCGTTTCGACTCCGTTTGATATTCCTTTTCTTCGAAACACAGAAATTGGCATAAAACAGCAAATCTGGGTCGGGCCTCCAGTTAATAGGTTAGTCCCAAAAGTAATATAAAAGTGGATAATAAAGCCCAATATTGCCAAAAACAGTAGATAATATAGCATGGAGCAATCAAAAATTATAGATACGTTGGAGACATGTCAGAGACCAGGTGAGCTTATCCAAACTGTCATACCAAACTTTATGCCCATCAACATAAGCCCTATTGCTTCCTTCACCCATGAAAAAACCACCATGATGAAACTGCACTGAGAACTTCTCAATTCTTGCTCCCGCAAAAACAAAGCATAATTGATCACATCAAAATTGAACAAAATGACCTTTTTGAATAGTACATCACCAAAAATCCCCAATGTTCTCCATAAACAAAAACTCCAAAACCTATGCATATTCCAACAAAGGTGCACATACGGGTACAACTGCTAGAAACCTAAGCCTATTTCATGTGGAATCGATGAAAATTAGATCCTTTCGACAAGAACCTAAAACCCTATCAGACAAATTGGGTTCGAAAAACCCTAAACCTAAATTGCCATACGCGCGACAAATATTAAAACATATCATAGGCGAACACAATGCCAGCCCTATCAAACAAGAATCGAAGAGAAATAAGAAGACTTACGGCAAGAATCATCACTTATGGTAAATAGGGGCAGGGGGACCATCGGGGCGACGAACAGGAGACATGGCAGCGGCGCCTCCACTTCACCACCGCGAGAAGAAACCCCTTCGCGCCGACCATGGTGACGACCACGCCGCACCACGCCCCACCACGCCTCCATCACCTTCTCCGCAGGTTTGATCGGCTCGAACAGGGGAGGTAGAGACGTGGGAGGACTTCGGGGATCTGTCCGATAAATTGGGGGGTGTTGCTGCAAATGTTCCATCGGGTCGCTCCTCCTCGCGACACCTTGCGCGCGGCCTGGGAGCCGGACGGTCAACAGGTGGTCAACAGGCGGCGTACGCGCGGCCTACGACGCACAGTGACCGTATTTTCACTGTTCACCGTACACAGTGACCGTATTGCGTGAGTTCTTGTGTACAATGACCAAAGTGACCGGGCGACGCAAGTTGAGGTACCACCGATAAATTTTACTCTTACAAGATAGTCGCCAGGAACTTTCCGCCAGTGCCGTGCCTGAGCAAACTGGGCGGCCCCTGGTTGGGGCCTCGGAGGGCAGGCACGTTTGCCAGGCCGTACGTCCTACCAGCACTGGTCGGCCTCCCATGTCCTCCACCGAAACGCCGGCCCAGCCGCCGCTGCCCGCCGCATCATCATTCCCGTGGTGCGGCAGGCCACGTCACGGTCGTAGCATGCGCGCTCGTCGGGGTCGGCAAGCGTGGCGTAGGCCGTGTGCAGCCGGATGAACCCCTCGTCGTCGCCGCCACCAGCAGCGTCCGGGTGCACCTCCCTGGCCAGACGCCGGTACGCCGCCTTGATCTCGCCCCTAGTCGCCCCGGCACACACACCAAGCAATTCATACTGCATCCTCCCAGCCGCCACCGCCATCGGCTTGGCGGCGGTGTTGGGGTCAGCATGGGAGTTGGCGCGGTCGTCAACGATATTTGCTTCAAGATGAGTGAAAGGATCGATACGGTCGACTAGAGGGGGGTGAATAGGAGACTACAAATTTTAATATTTCTTGTAGATTTTAAGTCTTAGCGGATAAAAGAGTTCACTAGATATGCAACTAGGTGAATGCAACCTATATGACAAGCAAGCTCCAAAAGAGAAATGCTAGGCAACAAACTACTTAGCAAGCCAACAAGCATACAACAAGGAAAGGTGCGGGAAAGGATTAACCACAAGTGAGACGAGGACGCGGATATTAACCCGAAGTTCACTCTTCCTTGGGGAAGAGATAATCTCCATTTGGAGCGGTGCCGGAGCCAAAGCTTGCGGAATACCACCAAAGGCTCACCGTATTCTCCTTCAAGTCACCCCCAATGGATGAGCCTCGAACCACTCGGGGTTGGTCTTGAAGGCGACCACCACACCTTTACAAACTTCTCCGGAGCACACCACAAGCAAGGAAGCTTCCAGAGGAACCTCTAATCGCCTAGGAGCCCAAGCTCCAAGAGTAACAAGTCAATGGGGAAGAAATGTTGCGGGGAACGCGATTTGGTTTGGTCAAGTTGTAGATCGGGTCTTGCTCTCCCAATCCCCAAAGTTTCGACAAGTTTGGGTGGAGGGATTGAGAGTATTGAGCAAAATGGGGTGTAGCAATGGTGGAGCTCAACAAGACATTAGGGTTAAAGGTTGGAGGTGGAAGAAGGGCATATATATAGTGTTCATGGGCTGGTGGGGATTTCTTCCCGTTGGACCTCGTGCGCACGGGCTAAGTCAGCCCCGTGCGCACGAGGTATCTAGAGACAATCGCACCATCCCATGCGCACGGGGGTCAAAAGACCCCATGCGCACGGGGTACCCAGAGAGTTGCGCAGTACCCCGTGCGCATGGGGTACCCAGTAACTTTCTGTTGCAACTTTCTGAGTACCACAGCACACACACTAGGTTCATTTTAGGTGGTCAGAGTGGGAAGGGTAAGAGAGTAAGGCTCGGCAAAGCCATTCCCACACGACATTTATCCACACAAACCCCTCTTAATAGTGTGGTCTTTCCTACGACTCGAACCAAACCAAAACTAAACCTTTGAAGCATCGAAAGACCACGCCTTTGTCCTTTTTGAAATGGGGGGTCGCACATCTCCATCGCGGGCACTTAGAACCAATAACCTGAGATAACTTTGGCAACTGATATTAGTTCAACTAACCACATTGTCATCACACCAAAATATAGCATAAGTGCCACTAGCACTTTCAATCTCCCCTTTTTGGTGCATTGATGGCAACGTGGTTAGAGCATGGCATGGAGGATAAATAGAAAGAAAGCCATGGAACAAATAATGATCAAGATAGCTCCCCCTATGTGTGTGCCCAAAAACAAGAATGCATCTAGTACACCCATAGGAGGTTCATCCAAGATCATTATTGATAAGTCATGAGATTCATCAAAATAAATCTATAACGGTGCCTAGATCTCATGACACAGTGTGGTGAGCAAATAATGTGAGACCCAATAAGCAAGAGGATAATTGCAAGGTTCAATAATAAAGCTGGAGTCTCACAATAACGCTAGAGTCTCACAACCACACAGACGGAAAGCAAATAAGAGTATCTCAAGCCAACTAAAACCAACCAACAGCGAGAAACACGAGGCTTGAGATCTCAACACACCCACGAACGCACCACACACCCACGACACAACCACACACACCACTTCTCCCCCTTTGTCATCAAGACAACAAAAAGGAGACAAATGGCGACACGAGACCCACTAGACAAGAGGAGGAGCACTCGAGGCATCATCATCATCATCAAAACGCCATCCGGCCATTGGGAAAGACCGAGCAGTGGCCTCACTGTCAACGTCCTCTGAACCTGGACCGACCTCCTCACCAGCAGCAGCCCTTGCTGCCTTCTGCTCACGCTGAACAAGCTTCTCCTTGTTGATTTCCTTGATCTGACGATGCTGAATCGACTGACATATCTTGAACATGTTGCTCAAGGTCTTGAACAGCGACTTCTTCTCTCCCTTGGAAAAGATGGCCTCAGAGCCAACAGACTTGGCCTTACCACGAGGGATCCATGCAGTAGAGCACATGCCTGGAGTGTAAGTAGCACGATCCTCGGGCCTAGGGTTGCGCCCCTTCTTGATGGGCACATAGGGAGCAGGAGCGGCTGGGGTCCAGTTGGAGTTGCGCTTGGGAACAGAAGTCTTGAAGCTGGCAATGTACTTTGCTAGACAAACGGTCTCAATCAACGCCTGTATGAATGGAGCATAGATCAAAGACTTGTTCTCTTGTACACACTGATGCAGCTTGTAGTACATGAAATCCAGAAGATCCACTTTCTTCTTCTGATGAAGATACACAAAGACATCAAGCATGGAGCTCCGAATGTTATGGGAATCCCCGGCCTTTGGAGTGAGGGTATACCGCAGGATATGGCGCATGGTGTCATAGAGGGGCAAGAGGTCTTTGATTGACCCAGTAACAAACGACTTCTCTTGTTTGTAAGCAAAGGCAATCTCATCCTTAGTGCGCTGCCCACTTTCCCGAACAATGCCAAACTCATCAGAAACAGTCTCTTCATCCATGAACAGGTAGGGAATGATCTCGGAGAACTTTGCCATAGGAGCTGAGCACTGATGCGTTCCGGACATCCATGTGAGGGTGCGAGCAGAATCATTGGAGAAGTACAGAGTGGCAAAGAACTGCATCACTAGATCTTCATTGTAGGGGTGGTTGAAAGTGACAAATGGAATCACGCCCAGTCGTCCAAGAGCGGAGTACACACCGGGATACAAATGATCATTGTCGCCCAGACTCTCAGTGTTGACTTGCTTGTGAGGAGCAAACTTCTTTGACTTGGTCATAAGAATCTCATGATAGATTCTTTGCTGAAACCCATTCTTGAAACGAGGATCCATTCCCATACTCGTGGCCTTAACATACGGATGGTTCTGTCTCTCAGCCCAGATCTCTGGCTTGGTCCACTGGACAAGAGGCATATTCCGGAGGTCACGCCTGCCCGGAGTGGCTTCCTCCGGACTAGACTCCTCTTCCTCTTCTTCATCTTCCTCACCACGATCATCTTCTTCTTCTATCGCATCATCTTGTGAGTCATATTCTTCCTTAGATTCATCGGAAGCCTCAACAATGGGCTGCTTTGAGGTTGCACGGCGAGCATGGTCCTGACCTGTCCTAGACCCCTGACCCATGTCTTCAGACGGCTGACGACGAGCAATGATGAAGTCCTTTGATCCTCCTTTTGCACGCTTGCGACGAAGCTCCGACCTCTTGTCAGCGGAGTCTGAAACACACACAAAAACCCAACAACACAAAGCACGAAGCACAAATGAGTACAAGTGCAAGATGAATGGCAAGGAGATAGACAAAAATCTAGGCTAAAGTTCCTGGATAGCCCGTGCGCACGGGGGTTTAGACCCTGTGGGCACGGGGGTCTCGTGCGCATGGTACAGGACCGTGGGCACGGGGCCCCATGCGCACGGGGGTCAAACACCCCGTGGACATGAGGGTCTCCCAGCGGCAGCCACTACCAGAAAGAACTCCGGGAGTGGGTGCAGCAGAGGGACCAAAGGATCTAAGCACTAGACTTCTATCTACAAACTAGTTGAGGCCAAACGAATCTAGGGAGCAAAGAAACCCTAAAGCTAGAAAAATAGATAGTAACATAAGGATATAGACAAAGGAGACAAGACCAACCGGAGGAGGACCTCATCTGGATCCAGATCCATGGAGGAAGAACTCCGACAAAGCCCGGAGGAGCTCCGACGAGTGGAGGCGACGGCGGCGGCGCTGGAG